CCCGGTGCTCTGCGCTTCCTCGTGGCTCGGCGGTGACGGGGCTGGCCGACCTCGAGCTCGACGGCCTGAGAGTGGCGGCTCTGCGAGCTAAAGGCCGGCGCCCGGCCGCGGCCAGCCTGGGATTGCGTCTGCGCGCCATGCGTCGAGGGTTTCGGAGGGGCCCCGTCGTCGTTCGCAAAGGTGAAGTCGTGCGCGCCTGGGCCGCGTGCGTGGAGACGTCGCTTCCGGTGTAGTCGGTTTCGGGGTCTGTGCTCGAGGGGTCCCGGGGGATCCTTCGGGCGCAGTCTCCACGGGCAATGCGTCAATCCAGCTCGGGCTCTGTTGCTCTCCATGGCGCGCTGGAGCGAGCGCGCGATCGGCGGCGGAGCTGGTGGGCCAGTTTGGCGAGGTTGTGGGCCTCCTGTTTTTTTTTTTTTCCCCGGGTCGAGCTGTGGCGGCCGCTAGGAGAGTGGGTGTTGCCGCTTCGGACCTTGTGGCAATGAGTGCATGCAACTGCTGGAGGCTTGAGAGCTCATTAAGAGACCCCTGGGGGGAGTCCTACTCGGAAAGAATCCTGAAGGGCTCGGGAAGCGCGAGAAGAACCTCGTGCGCAGCCTGGCCTCGAGTACCCACTGGCCTCGAGCCAGGCTTCAAGGGCGCGGTGGAGCCCTCTCCGATAGGTGTAGGATTTGCGGAAGCCGCGGGGCCCTCCACCGCGGAGGGTGCGGCTGCCTTTGTGCAGCGGCTTTCAGACACGCGGACATGCTTCCGGAGCTGGGCGGGGCGGCCGGGCGAGTCGCCACGCGAGGCGAAGATGAGGCGCAGTTCTTTGCGCGTTGCCTTCCCCCCCCCCCGCCTGGGCGGTGCTCCGGGCAACCTGGGGCTCCAGAGGAGCACTGGGCGCGTTGTCGGAGCTCTGCCCGGGTGGCTCTGGAGGGGACCCACCTTCGTCGATGGCTCTGCCTTCAGCGCGAAGCGCGGTTCGCGTCGGAGGGCAGGCTGGTCGGTGGTGCAAGAGGGCCAGGCCGGGAACTTCGTCGCCTGCGTGTGTGGGGTGGCGTCTCGGGGCTGGGCGCCCGACCAGTGGGCTCGGGGCGGAAGGGGGGGGTTGCGCGCTCCATGTGCATGCTCGGTTTTCGGGGCCGCTTTCTTGGGGGTAGTTCGGGATTGCCGCTCGAAGGATTTGGCGATTGCGCTGGATCTGCGGGCTGCGCCGCGAATGCGGCAAAGGCCCTTGGCCCGAGGAACTCAGGAACGAGAGGCGTCGCGCGTGGGGGCTCTGGTGGGCCACAGTGGGGCCCTTGGCCAGTGTTGAAAAGGTCGAGGTCCAGTGCCCTCCAGGGGGCCGCGTCTCTCGAAGACCTCCGGATTTTCGGGGGATTCGTCTCGCGGATGACTGGGCCAAGACAGGCGCTCTCTTGTGGGGGGCCCCCGGGGGAACGGGAGTTTTTCTGGCGAGGCCTGCGAGAGGCGCGCTGGGCAAGCGGCTGTCTGGCAAGGCAGGCTGCGCGCGTGGATGCGCGCGGCCAGCCTTCAGGACGCCGGCGGGGTCGGCGGCGCGTTTGATGCTGCGTTGGATCTCGATGTCGACGATTCAATGCGCGAGGCCGACCTGGCGAGCGCGTGGGCGGCGCGCTGCGACGCGCGCGACAGGCGCGGGAGCCCGATCGCCCTCCCGGCCGAGCTTTGCTGCGGCGCGGCCCCGGCGCAGGCGCCCTCGGCGTGGTCGAGCCTCGCTGCTGGGAGCGACGTCGCTCGGCTGCAACCTCGGTTGTTTCAGGGGCATGAGATCGTCCGGCCCGAGGAATCGGACCAGGAGAGGGTCCCCCAGTTTTGTTCCGCATAGGCTGTGGTGCGAGGGTGCAGGAGAACTATGGGCCTGGGTCGGGCCTGGCGGATGTCTGCAAAGAGAACGAGCACCCATGACTCGCCATTCAGAGGAGCAGGCTTCGGAGAGGCTTGCGTTCTAATTCAACCGCGTCCCCACCTCCTACGCTTGGGCAGTTGCGTGCGCCGCCCTTGGAGGTTTGAGCTCAGTGGGTGGGGGAGTTGAGCATTTCTGATGCTGGTTCGGGGTCATGGCTTGTTGGAACTCCCTCTGGGTTATGTGTCCCTGGACTTCTGGATATGTATAGGTCCGCTGCGTTGCATGGCTTTTCTGATCCATGGGAGGCGGTCGAATAGTGCCGCTGGGGCCATGCACGAAAGGTCTGTGACATGCAGGCCCAGAGGGAGGACTCCCTCGGCCCAGAGTGGAGAGCACGCTGGGCTTCTTGGTAAACTGTTTTTTTCAATGCTTTGCAGGCTGCAGGGTAGCATGCTCCATTTTCTGATCTACCCTGAACTACCCTCCTCCTCCTCCTCCTCTTCCTCCTCCTCCTCCATTCCTTCATCTTATAAATAACTTCTCCCTGCCGTGCCCCGACGCCAGTTTTTAGGGCGGGCCGGGAGTTTCGCCTGAGACTTCCTCACCAGTTATGATTCCGAAGCTTCAGAAATAGCAGTGAATTTCAACATGTGGCTCTCGGCTTAGCGCCGGGCCCATTCGTTTTTTTTTTTTTTTTTTTCTTCTTCTTCTTCTTTTCTCTTCAAAATGTGCAACAGTTTCACGGATTAAGGGCTGGTGGTTTGTAACATATGGCTCTCGCCTTAGCGCCGCGCACATTCGTTTAAACAAATTGCAGCAGTTTCACGGACTGAGGGCGGGTCGTCTTCAAAAAGTGGCTTTCGCCTAGCGCGGCGCACATTCTTTAAAAAACATTGCAACAACTTCACGGATTGAGGGCGGTTCCCTTTCAAAATGTGGCTCTCGCTTTAGTGCCGCGCACGTTCGTTTTTGAACATTTGCAATCGTTTCACGGATTGAGGGCGGGTGGTTTTCAAAATGTGGCTCTCTCGCCTTAGCGCCGCGCGCATTCATTTAAACATATTGCAATAGTTTCACGGTCTGAGGGCGGGTCGTTTTCAAAATGTGGCTCTCGCCCTAGCGCCGCGCACATTCGTTTTCAACATGTGCAATAGTTTCACGGATTGAGGGCGGTTCCCTTTCAACATGTGGCTCTCGCCTTAGCGCCGCGCGCATTCGTTTTTAAAATTTGCAAGGGTTTTACGGGTTCCCATGATCAACGTAACAGGAATGGTGTTTCGGAAGGATTCAGGACTATGTGGGTGCAACAATTATGTTGCTTCGCGGTGTTGACGTCCCAGAAATGGCGTTCTGGCACAGTTCCAGATCGTCAGAACGCAGCAGTCAGGTTGATCCGGGGCGTGGAAATCCCAAGATCAATGTTTTGGCATGCTTCGAGGTCTTAAACGGTTGTCTTCCAACGAGGCAGTTCCTTCAATGGAAGTGAACCGTTGTAGGGGCCCATGAAGAGGGAGCCTGGAGGAGGACTAGTTCCAACCTCGTTGATGGCTCTTGGGTTTGCACTGGTCCTTGTCCTCCTCCTCCTCCTCCTCCTCCTCCGCGGCTCGAACACGCGCCCCAAGGGCCGAACTCGAGAAAAAAACCTACTTCTCCTCCTCCTCCTCCGCCTCCTCCTTCCCCTCCTCCCCCTCCTCCTCCGCGGCTCGAACACGCGCCCCAGGGGCCGCCCTCGAGAAAAGACCAAAGTGTTTGGACAAGAGTCATACCGTCGGAGACCTGGGCCCTTTTCCACTCCTCCCCCTGGGGGGCCTCTGCATTCCGCCCAGGTCGGGGGACACCATCCATCCATCCATCCGCCTCCTCCTCCTCCTCCTCCTCCTCCCTGCTCCTCCTCCTCCCTCCTCCTCCTCCTCCTCCTCCTCCTCCTCCTCCTCCTCCTCCTCTCCTCCTCCTCCTCCTCCTCCTCCTCCTCCTCCTCCTCCTCCTCCTCCTCCTCCCTGCTCCTCGTCCTCCTGCTCCTCTTCCTTCCTTTTCCCGCCCGCTCTCCTCTTCCCCTACTCCTTCTGTCCTCCTGTCCTCCTCAGGGGAGCGCTATCGGATATACTTTGACTGCTCGCACTCGGCCGGAGTCCCGAGTCCTCCTCTTCTTGCCCTCTGCCTCCTCCCCTCCTCCCATTTCCTCCCTCCTCCTCTTCCTCTTTCCCCTCCTCTTCCTCGTCCTTTTACAATTACACAATATGAATATGAATACCCTCTCAACCCTGGTGGCGTCCCGGGAATGTCCAGTCCCCCTCCGCATATTTTTGTTACGCACAAAAGTCCTTGGAATTGGGTTTTCGCTGGGTTTTTCTTCAAATTCTGCTCTCGCTGAAGCGCTGGCTTCATTTTCGGGCTACCGCTTGCTCCGAATCGTGCTCCCGCTGCAGCGCTGGCCTCATTTCCGCGCTTCCGCTCGTTCCGAATCGTGCTCCCGCTGCAGCGCTGGCGTCATTATTTCCAGCGCCATGCCACGGCATGGTTTACGGTCCTTCCAAATATGCGTAAAATCCAGAAAATGAGTTTCCGAATTAACCATCGGAAGTGATTGCGCATTCGGTGCCGATTCGTTGTTTTTTTGGGCCGCAGAAGCCCCCCCGTTGGGGCGTCGCCACGCCATGCTATGTCAGGCTACGCGCCCTCAGTTCTGCGCTTCCGCTCGTTCCGAATCGTGCTCCCGCTGCAACGCTGGCGTCATTATTTCCAGCGCCATGCCCCAGCACGGTTTTCGGTCCTTCCCAATGGGCCCCAAAATCTAGAAAATGGCCTCCCGAAGAAACCATCGGAAGTGATTGCACATTCGGTGTCGATTCGTTGAGTTCGTTTGGGCCGCAGAAGCCCCCCCCCCTGGGGGCGTCGCCACGACATGCTGTGTCATGCTACGCGTTGATCTTCGACACCATGGTATGCGATGTAATGCTATGCCATGCTCCGACATCCGATTGTGCGACTAGAGAGGGGATCTACGCCATGGTAAGGGAGGGGAGGGAGGGATAGGACGTCAGATGTGGCGCGAGCACACCTAGCCCAGCTTGTTCCCTCCCCCCCTCACACCTTCGCCGCCTCTTCCCTCCGCTTCCTCCTCCCCCTGCTCCTCTCGACCGTCCGCCCCGCGGAGGCGCCGGCCCGCCGCAGGCGGAGGTTGTCGGGCCATCGCCGACGAGGCGTCGCCGCGTTCACATCGTGGGCGCTTCGGCGCTGGCTCAGGAGGTAGCCGGGCAGGGGCAGAAAGCGTGCTGGCGACTGGCGCGCTGACCCTCGGTCTGTCCCTCGCATCCTCGCGTCGTACAGCAATGATGACGGAGGGGTTCTGTGCATGTTCGGCTTCTCGGGGCCCTTACAGGGCCCCAGGACCGTCAAACAACGACTCGGGATGACACGCCGATCCCTGGGAAGGGTTCGAGACCTCTGGAGAGCCGCGTTGCGACAAACATCACAACGTCGGACGTCTGGGGTGAGGGAGGGATGGTCCGTCTCGACGGCGCAAGATGGCGGCAAGGCGACGTCCGCCGAAGAAGCGGGAGCGGAGTGGATGCATGTACCCTTCCCCACCGTACATCGATTCCTTTCCCTGGCCACTCCGACACTGTGGGCCAGGAAGTCTTGGGTGGGATGCGCGGGTGGTGAGCGGGAGGGAGGGGAGGAGGGAGGGAGATAGAGATGGGAAGGTGCGGGGGTAAAGGTGGAAGCGGGGGATTGTGTGCGGGAGGGGGGGAGGGAAGTAAGGAGCGGGTGGTGGCTGAGATGACGGGAGGGGTCGGGGGATGGCGTGCGATTGGGAGGGGGTGTTGGGGAGGGGGATTAGGAGAGAGAGGGAGGGAGTGACACTTACGGGCGGGTGCAGCACCCAGGCAGGGCGGAATGGGGGTATGGGTGTAAGGGAGGGCAAGATGGACAATGTAAGTGCGGGGACATGAGCGAACGATGAACCTTCGGTCCATCCCGCCACCGTGCCTGTGTCATTGGCCAGCAACTGTGTATGTATGTATATGTGCACGTATGTATGTATGCATGCATGCATGTATGTATGTATGTATGCATGCATGCATGCATGCATGCATGTATGCATGTATGCGTGTATGCATGTATGCATGTATGCATGCATGCATTTATGTGTTGTATGTGCTGCATGTGTTGTACATGTTGTATATGTTGTATGTATGTGTGTACATATGCATGTATGTATGCTGCATGCATGCGTGCATGCATGCATACATGTATATATGTATGCATCTATGTATGCATGTACGTATGTATGTATGTATATGTGTATGCATGTATGTGTGTATGTACGTATGCATGTATGTATGCATGTATGTATGTATGTATGTATGTATGTATGTATGTATGCATGTCTATGTGCATGTGTGTGCACATATGTATGTATGCATGTAGGTATGCATGTATGTATGTATGCATGTATATATGCGTGCACGCATGTTTGTATGTATGCACGTATGCATGTCTGTGTGCATGTTTGTAAGGCATGTATGCATGTATGTATGTCTGCATGTCTGTCTGTATGTATGCATGCATGCATGCATGTATACATGCATGTGCGTATGCATGTATGTGGGTTTAGGTGTGTGGGTATGTGTGTATATGTATGCATGCATGCATGTAGGTATGTATGTATGTATGCATGTATGTATGGATGTATGTATGTATGTACGTATGCATGTATCTATGTATGGTATAATGGACGGCTGGCTGTATGGATGGATGTATGGGTGGATGTTTGTATGTATGTACGTATACATACAGGGAGAGAGATCTATACATGCTCAAAGATATATGTAGAGAGATAGATAGATAGAGAGAGAGAGAGAGAGAGAGATAGAGAAACAGAGAGAGAGAGAGAGAGATAGAGAGCGAGAGAGAACGCGAGAGAGACAAACATCGACAGAGACATATATGGGAGGGCATGATGAAGGGATGGCGGCGAGGAGCGAGACGAGTAATGCGAGGGGAAGCATAGGAGGTAGAAGTGCAGGTGTGCAGGTCCTGAGAACGGAATAACGGAGGGAGGGCATGGGGGAGGGAGTTTGGGATGGGAGTGAGCTAGGGAGGGATACATGGGGAACGTTGGGTATGCGTGGAGAAATGGGGTAAGCCCAGTGAGGGTGGCCGGGAGGGGATGCGTGCACAGGGGAGGAGAGGCAGGCGGGAGAAGGGCCGCGTTGTGCCGCTCTGCGCCGTGGGACATTTCGCGGGCGTTCTCTTCAGGCAAGCTGGTGGTCCACTGGCGCTGTCCTCATCCTCCTCCACAAATGCCAGCCCCACGCGCCGTGGGAGGGCAGAGAAATACCGAGGCCCGCTCCGCGGCCCAGGGGAACGCCGCTCCCCAGACATGGGGTGCGGCGCCCCGAGCGTCGCCCCGACGCGCGTCGCAGCGACGCCCGAGACGCCAGGGGCGCGAAGAACCCCCAGGGCGCGGGCGGGTGGGACAAAACGCGTCACGCGGCCACGCATGGGCAGCGTGCACGCCACAGCCCTCGCGGGGACCCAAGCCCAGAGAGGCGAACGCACAGCGCGCAAGGCCGCGTGTGCGGACGGGCACCGCGAGGCCGTCCCAACGCCACTCGCACCACGGTGCGGTGGCACAGCGCAGCGGGACACGCCCCCCGCCAGCTGCACAGCAATGGCCAACAAGGCCAGCGGCCGCTCCTGGGCGGACCGCGGACAAGAGAAAGCAGGAGCGCAGAGGCGGCAGCCGCACAGGCAGAGCAGCACCAGTATACCTCTCCCACCCATGGCCCCGCACCCCGACCCCCCCCCCGTCCCGAGGACGAGGAGAGGGCAGGGGAGCAGGGCAGCCGTGGGAGCGGCATTCGTGCAAGCCCACAAACGCAACGACAGTGCAAGCACTGTCCCTGAGTTTGTGGGCTCATCACAAATGCCAGCCCCACGCGCCGTGGGAGGGCAGAGAAATACCGAGGCCCGCTCCGCGGCCCAGGGGAACGCCGCTCCCCAGACATGGGGTGCGGCGCCCCGTGCGTCGCCCCGACGCGCGTCGCAGCGACGCCCGAGACGCCAGGGGCGCGAAGAACCCGACGCCAGATCGTGGCCCTGGTGGCTCGGGCGGCGCCTGCCCCAGAGGCGCACCACCCCTCGCTGCATGCGCCGGCAGGGGTGAGGCAAGGCACGAAGCCACGCTACGTTGTCCTCCCAAGTGGAGGGCGCCCCAGTGCGCTGCGGCTCGATGCACCGCCAGGATTTATGAATCGGAAGAGGAATCGCTGCTGGAGGATTCGTCCAGATGCGCCTGCGAGGGACGAGCGCATTGCGGATCGCCAAAATGCGGCGCGCGTCGCGCCTCCAGCACGGCGCCGGATTCAAGGTCCTGAGAATTGATGTATTGCAGGAACGCAGGCGAACGCCACTGCCCAGCCTTTAGAATCGCCCCCAGGCGACTGCCACCTTCAAGCATGTCCTGTGCGCCAGTATACCTCTCCCACCCACGGCCCCGCACCCCGACCCCCCCCCCGTCCCGAGGACGAGGAGAGGGCAGGGGAGCAGGGCAGCCGTGGGAGCGGCATTCGTGCAAGCCCACAAACGCAACGACAGTGCAAGCACTGTCCCTGAGTTTTTGGGCTCATCTCCTCCTCCTCCTCACTCCCTCCTCCCTCCTCCCTCCTCCCTCCTCCTCCTCCTCCTCCTCCTCCTCCTCCTCCTCCTCCTTCTCCTCACCCTCCTCCTCCTCCTCATCCTCCTCTTCCTCCTCCTCCTCCTCCTCCTCCTCCTCCTCCTCCTCCTCCTCCTCCTCCTCCTCCCCCTCTGGGGTGAACTTTACGATGACTCGAGACAGGGCTATAGCGGGCTTTGTGGCAATGTTGTGGTCGCGCAGAGCCAAACCGTGCGCTATCGTAGCATGCCGCTGGTGCCATGTCGTGCAGTAGCCTCCTTCTACTCCCTCCTCATGCCCCCTCCGCGCGAAGGTCTCCAGAGGTCTCCAGAGGCGCCCAGAGCTTCCTGGAGGTCGAGAGCGAGGGCCAACCGCGTCCAAATTCTCCGTCCTGGAGCCTTCTCCCTCTCTTCACCTTCCACAACTACACACTCTGAATACTACTCCGCGTACTGGTTTTTTACACAGGATTATGGGGCCACTTTTTTGGGGGTTAACTGTATATATACTTCTCTCGCTGAAGCGCTGGCTTCATTTTCGGGCTGACGCTCATTCCGGATTGTGCTCCCGCTGCAGCGCTGGCCACATTTTCGCGCTTCGCTCGTTCCGAATCGCGCTCCCGCTGCAGCGCTGGCGTTCTTGTTTCCAGCGCCATGCCACGGCATGGTTTTCGGTCCTTCCAACTCGGCCCCAACATCTAGAACACGTCCCCCGAAAAAGCCTTCGATTCCATATTCGGTGTCGATTCGTTGATTTTCCGGGCCGCAAGAGCCCCCTTCTTTGGGGCGTCGCCACGCCATACTATGTCAGGCTACGCATCCTCATTTCCGCGCTTCCGCGATTGCAATATGCTGCTCTCGCTGAAGCGCTGGCTTCATTCTCGGGCTACCGCTCGTTCCGAGTCGTGCTCCCGCTGCAGCGCTGGCCTCATTTCCGCGCTTCCGCTCGTCCCGAATCATGCTCCCGCTGCAGCGCTGGCGTTATTATTTCCAGCGCCATGCCACGGCATGGTTCTCGGTTCTTCCAATCAGGCCCCAACATCTAGGAATTGGCCTCCCGAGTAATATCATGGGAAGTGATTCCACATTCGGTGTCGATTCGTTGATTTTTTGGGCCGCAGAAGCCCCTCCACCCACTTCGGGGCGTCGCCATATCATGCTAGGTCATGCAACGCGTTGATCTTGAACACCATGCTATGCCATGTAATGCTATGCCATGTTGCGACATCCGATTGTGCGAATAGAGAGGAGATTTACGCCGTGGTAAGGGATGCGAGGGAGGGGTAGGACGTCAGATATGACGCGAACGCATCTAGCTTGCCCCTCCCCCTCCCCCTCTCCCCTCCCTTCCCCTCTCCCCTCCCTCCCTCCCCCTCCTCTCCCCTCCCTCCCTCCCTCTCCCCTCCCTCTCCCCTTGACCTCCTATCCGTAGCCACGACCAGGGGACAGAAGGGCAGCTGCGGGAGAGGACTGGGCGCCAGAGGGTGGGATGTCCTGCCCCGTGCTCCGCGAGAGAGCGACGGAGAAGTCCAGGCTTCTCGCGTTCACAGCTCGATCGAATCGACTCCCTTCGATCCGATCGATCCTATTCGATATCGGTTTCTCCTTGCCCCATGGTCCGCGAGAGAGCGACGGAGAGACCCAGGCTCCTCGCGTTCACAGCTCGCTCGAATCGACTCCCTTCGATCCGATCGATCCGATTCGGGATCGGCATCGCCCGATCTGGTCCGATTTTATTCCGATCTGCTGGCGATCCGATGCGGCCCGATGCTTGCCCGGCGCTGTTGTGCCTCCTGGCACGGCCGGCCAGATTCGATCTCTGACTTCGTGCCGATGCAGCCCGATCCGATGCACATTCCGTTTCGATGCAATTCCCGATTCGGTGCCGACGAATCTTGCCTGACTTACCTGGCCAGTGTTGGGCGGAGAGCCAGCATCTCGCTCTCGTAGAGTCAGTCGAGCAGCTCACTGCACTCTGAGGCCGGTAACACCTTCAGGAGCCTCCGATGGAGTCATCCGTGGCAGAATTTCTTGTGAGGTGGCCTGCTCGCGAGCGGCTGACACCTTTCCAGAACGTGGCATCCTGGCGTGGCCAGCCCGATTCGACCTCTGGCTCTTTGCTGAGGCAGGTCGCTCTGGCCTCCCACACGTCCAACGGTGCGCACCCGCAGGGCGTGGGCCTCGTACTTCTCCTCCTGCTCCTCCTCCTCCTCCTCCTCCTCCTCCTCTCCTCCTCCTGCTCCTCGTCCTCCTGCTCATCTTCCTCCTCCTCCTTCTTCTCCTCCTCCTGCTCCTCCTCCTCCTCCTCCTCTTCCTCCTCCTCCTCCTCCTCCTCCTCCTCTTCCTTCTCCCGCGAGAGGGGGGGGCATAATTGCCTCTCCCGTCTCTCCGTCCCGAGAGGTGAGCGAGGCGGACGAGGTCGTGCAGGTGCCCGCGAGCCAGTGTCTTCCTCCGCCGCAGGCGCAGCAAGCGGCTGGGGAGCGGCTGCGAGCGCTGGCCCCTCAGGAGCGAGGGAGGGAGGGGGGAGGGAGGGGGGAGGGAGGGAGGGAGGGAGGGAGGGAGGAGGGAGAAGGAGGAGGAGGAGGAGGAGGAGGAAGAGGAGGAAGAGGAGGAGGAGGAGGAGGAGGAGGAGGCGGAGGAGGAGGAGGAGGAAGAGATCCGTAGCCATGTTTGCTCACGCCTGCATCGACCCAGCCGGGGGGAGAGCGGTGGCGGACGGGCAGGATGGCCCCTCTGGCGAGCCTCGGCGGGCCGGGCTCGCGGGCCGAGCGCACTGCTGCTGGCCACGGGGCGAAGGCGGCCGCCGATGCTTCAGTCGGCAAGATGGCGAGGGAGCTCGAGCGCTGCACTCGTGCGTGAAATCCGCTCAAGCTGCGCTCGAGCCGTTATGTCCTCATCTGCTGCCGACGTCTCGGCTCGGGTACTTGTATTAGGTACAGCGCCGCGTGTCCGCGGCGCATGGGAAAGAGATCGTGACCCTCTCCCTTACCTTCCATTACCTACGGGGAATCTAATAGGTTCGACTCTTCGGTCGTCAACCTACATACACAGCACTGGCGAAGTGGATGCTCTCCAACAAGAGCTCGCGACCTTGATGCGGTCTTCGGCGAAACCGTGCCTGCGCGGTGGCCCCCGATGGTCGCAACGGTTCTGGCCGCCACGCTCGACGGCAGTGAGATCGAGGTCGTGAAGGTGTCCAGGCGCAACGCAGCTTCCACATCTTAGGGGTGCCAGCCAGGCGCCTGGCGACGGCCCCCATGCAGGAGCTGAGTCATATCTAGCGCGACGGCTCCATTCTGGTTTGCGGAGTGGCCTCGGACATCAGCTGCTACGTGGAGGTGTTCACAGCGGAGAACGCGGTGCGGCTACACATACAGCCTGCGACCTTGGATGCGGAGGCGCCGCCTTTCGTCAAGATTTTTTTTTTGAGGCGCAGCGCGCCCAGCCGCAGGCCGTGTGTTTACGCCGGGCTTGCCGGAGCCAGCCAAGCTGCGCAGCAAGGCCCCTCCTTTTTGGCCAGCTCGGCCCCTGGGCTTGTGTTAAGTCTGGCGTGTCCCTCTACTGGAGGAGAATTCAAAGCTAGTAAACATAGTCCAGGGACTTTTTTTGTGGTTTATATATATATGTATGTTTCCCCGATCGGGGCTTGCCTCTGTAGGGGTCCTAGCGGGTTCATATGGTTAGGTGAGCTTTGCTGCCAGATTTCCGCGGCCCGCCCGGGTGCCTGGGTGCCCTGGTGCCGGGGTGCCCTATAGCCCCATAGCCCTATAGCCCTATAGCCCTAAAATCCTATAGCCATATAGCCCCGATCCCAATAGCCCAATAACCCTATAGCCCTATAGCCCTACAGCTCTATAACCTTATGGCCCTATCGCCTTATCGCCCCAGAGCCCTATAGCCCTATAGCCCTATAGTCCTATATCTCTACAGCACGATAGCCCTACAGCCCTATAGCCCAATAGCCCAATAACCCTGAAGCCCTATAACCCTATAGCTCCCCCCCAAACCATAGACATATAGCCCTATAGCCCCATAACCCTATGGCCTTATAGCCCTATAGCCCTATAGCCCTATAGCCCTACAGCCCTATAGCTCTATATGCCTGTACAGTTATAGCCCTATAGCCCTATAGCCCTATAGCCCTGCAGCCCTATAGCCCTATAGCCCGAAAGCTCCATAGCCCCATATTCTCATAGCCCTATGCTCATATAACCCTATAGCCCCTTAGCCCCATAACCCTACAGCCCTGTGGCCCTATAACCCTATAGTTCTGTAGACCTATCGCCCTATGGCCCTATGGTCCTATAGCCCGATAGTCCCATAGCCCTACATACTCATAGCCCTATGGTCCTATAGCCCTATAGCCCCATAGCCCTATGGCCCCATCTCCCCATCGCACCATAGCCCAGTAGCCCCATAGCCCTATAGCCCTAAGAAGACTTTGATGTTTTTTCTCTGGTATCATTCGGGTATTGTTTATTTTTCGTCCAAAATGCGCCTGTGGGGGGACATGCCCGACCTAAGGCTTGCGGGCCGAACCAAAGTCGCGCGTCGACGCCTTCCTCGAGGCCCTCGTCTTCGGGGCTTCGGGCGACTTTGGCAGCGTGGGCGCCGGCCTGCCGCACCGCGGAGGCGGCGCCAGTGGGGGCCGGCTCGTCGAGGCGCCGATTGGTCGAGGACGGCGTCGCGATCTTTGATTCGCGCCGCAGCTGCAGAGTGTGGAATTCGGCGCAGCCGAAGACTCGGCAGTCTGGACCCGAGAGACGGTCGCGAGATGGCACGAGCTTCGGCTGGTTCTCGAGAAGACGGTGGCCACGGCGAGGCTTGGCGAGAACGGCCTCCGAGCTTGCGGGTTCGTCCGGCCCAACCGCGGCAAGCACGAGGGCGAGGGCGCCGCGGCCGTGGTGGGTTGCGCCCCCATCATGCTGCATGCGGCAGTCCCCGACGTTGCCACGGAGTCCGAGAGTTCTTTGCCAGCGCCGTGGGCGAGCAGGCTTCCAGGAGGGCAGCGGGTGCCCTTGGAGGTTCCAGCGCTGCAGCAGGCTTCGAAGTGCAGCTATCGGACATGCCGTCGAGTCCCGTCCACGTCGTGCTGGACGCGGATACGGCATGGGAGCGTCTTTTCCGGCTCAGCAGCTTGAGAGATTGGAAGGTTTTTGAGAATATCAACTCGCTTATGCGCTGAACCATTGCAGATATTATCTTTGCAATTCATGCTGGCGTTTGTCGGGTCTGCGTGTTCATTTTTTGTGACGCAATTCGTTTTGTCGATCTTGCGTTGTACGTGGCATTCTGGATGCTTCTTCGTATGTGGCTCCCTGGCGCAGCGTGTTACACCAGTTTTGTTTCGAAAGGGATTGGAGTTTTGGCCATGGTTTCTTGCCTGCATGTTTGTCCATTGTTCGCTGAGTTCTTCCGGCACGTGAGTGAGTTTGGTTTCTGAGACCTCCCATTCCCTAAACAGCGAAGTTGTAGGCTCCGTTTCGAGTATTTATGTGTGTTCTCCAAATAGGCTTGCCCTGTAGGAGTCCTAGCTCAAACCCTACTAATTGGTCCGTTGCCCCCCCAATTCCTATGCCCCCCCTAAATCCTATGATTATGCCTCTGCCCATGCCTATGCCTCCCCCTAACTCCTAACTCCTATGCCTACGCCTATGCCTATGCCTGCTTGTTTGCTTGCTTGCTTGCTTGCTTGCGTGCTTGCTTGCTTGCTTGCTTGCTTGCTTGTTTGCTTGCGCGCTTGCTTGCGCGCTTGCTTGCACGCTTGCTTGCTTGCTGAGATGCCGATCCCAAGCGTGATTGATTCCTCTGATTCCTTGATTTGAGTCGTCTGATCTATATAGATTCAACGCTGGCTGATCTGTGGTGTTGATGTGCGTGTGTCCCTTCAGGCCCGTGGCTGTGCACCAGCTGTTGACACCAGCTGTTGCGGGTCGTTTTGCACCTCCTCCTCTCCCTCCCCAGTACCCCAATGCGTGTTTGTAGGGGGTGGGAGGTTGGGATGAGGAGGGACGCGGCGATTCCAGTGGAAACCCATGTCAAGAAACACCCTGCTTGCCTCCAGGGTGCCCTAGGTTTCTTGGGTTTCGAGGGTTTTGCGATGGAGCGCGTGGCACTCCCACACCAAAAATCCATGGGCGTCCTGGGATTTCAGGGCTGGGTTTCTAGTGGAAGGTTTCTTGTGTATTGGCCCCTGCCGTACGACGCCAAGTTGCAGGGCGGCGCCCACGCGGACTGGATGTTCGTGGCAGGAGGTCTCTACACCTATTCTTCTCCCTCCCCAGGACCCCAATACGTGTATGTAGGAGCGGGGGGTTTGGATGAGGAGGGACGGGGCGATCACGACACCAATGAGCAGGGCGGCACCTACGCGGACTAGACGTTTGTGGCAGGACCCCCCGCCGACCCGCGCTCGGCCTGCAGAGCAAGGCGGAACCGCGCGCGCTCGCCCTGCAGAGCAAGCTGGAGCGCATCTGTTGAAGATTTGATGGGTGCAGAGTGCACAGTGCGCAGAGGAGGAGGAGGAGGAGGAGAATGATGCTGATGCTGATGATGATGATGATGATGATGATGATGATGATGATGATGATGATGATGATGATGCTGCTGATGATGATGATGATGCTGCTGAGGATGATGAGGATGACGCTGATGATGATGCTGATGATGATGCTGCTGATGACAATGATGATGCTGATGATACTGATGATGATGATGATGATGATGATGATGATGCCGATGATGATGATGATGGTGATGATGATGATGCTGCCGCTGATGATGATGATGATGCTGATGATGGTGATGATGATGCTGCTGATGATGATGCTGCTGCTGAGGATGATGAGGATGATGCTGATGATGCTGATGCGGATGCTGATGCTGTTGCTGATGCTGATGCTGATGCCGATGCTGCTGCTGCTGATGATGATGTTGTTGTTGATGGTGATGATGCTGATGATGATGCTGATGATGATGATGCGGATGATGAGGATGATGATGATGAGGATGAGGATGCGTAGGAGGAGGAGGAG